TTTTTTGGTTTTTCAAGACAGGGTTTCTCTGTGTAACTTTGGAGCCTATCCTGGCACTCGCTCTGGAGACCAGGCTGGCCTTGAACTCACAAAGATCCGCCTGCCTCTGCCGCCCGAGTGCTGGGATTAAAGGCGTGCGCCACCAAAACCCGGCTTTAGCACTTTAGAGGCAGGGCGCAGGTGGATCTCTAGTTCTATATAGCAAATTGCAAGGCACAATCTAGGTCTAGTGAGACCTTGTTTTATTTGTCTTTTGTTTTGTGTCCTTCTCCCCCTCCCAAGACACAGTTTCTCCGTGTAGCTCTAACTATCCGAAAAATCTCTCTATAGACCAGACTGGCCTCCAACTCAGGCCTCGCCTGCCTTTGCCTCCTGAGTTCTGGGATATAGGATGCACACTCCCCTCCTGCCACAGCAAGGCATGGGATTTTAAATTTAGGAACTGGTTGGTCATTGAGCAAGAAGCCTCCACCATAAGTGCTTAGAGCCTCAGTCTCCTGCTTCTAAAGTCTGGAGCAACAGGCTCCTAGCTCCCAGGCCTTCGAGCTGTAAGGCTCTTTCTGGGCTTCTAGTCTAACCCCTAAGTCTTGGGCACACAAGCTCTGGAAGAATTTCCCCTCACCCATAATATCTATCTGAGCAAAAGGACTCAGCCCGCTAATTGGTACCCTAAGTTCACATGGATTAGATAGGGCCTTACAGAGCATGGTGCCTGAGGGGAGACTGGGAGGCTGGCGGGTACCATAGGGAGGGTTCTTGCAGGCCTTTAGATCTACTTTCATTTTCAAAGGTAAAGTTTGTAGTGAAAACTTTGGAATGAGGCTCTCTCATCTCACGCTGTTTTAGTGAAGAGTAATGAAGACGAATTTTCTTGATTTCATTAGTTCCTCCTTTGTAATTTTAATTAAGAATATGATCAAGGGCTAGAGAGACGGCTCAACAGGTAAAGGTGCCTGCCACCAAGGCTGGAGACTTGAGTTCAATTCCCAGAATCCACATGACAGAAGGAGGGACTGGCCCCTGTGAGTTTTCCTTTGTGGCTTATACCCACTGTCCCCGATTAAATAAAAAACACAACCAGAATTGAAGATGGTCATGGCAGTGGGCTCCTGCAATCCCAGCACCTGAAATCCCGGGACTGATGACAGCAAGAGGTCATAGTGAGGCTCAGGTCAGTCTGGCCTGTATAGTGGGACTCTGTCACAAACAAGCAAACAGCTGGGCGTTGGTGGCTCATGCCTTTAGTCCCAGCACTCGGGAGGCAGAGACAGGTGGATCTCGAGACCCGCCTGGTCTACAAGAGCGAGTTCCAGGATAGCCTCCAAAGCCACAGAGAAATCCTGCCTCAAAAAAACAAAACAAGCAAAGTGAAACTCAATTTCTGTGATGCATTCCAGCCACAGCCCTGTCAGAGTTTCCTACCCTTCTGTGGTGACTTGAAAGAGACATGGCTCCCAAAGGGAGTGGCACTGTTATGTGTGACCTTGTTGGAGTAAGTGTGGTCTTGTTAGAAGTGGTGTGTCATGGTGGAGGTGGGCTTCGAGGTCTCATATATACTTAAGATACATCTTAAGTATCTTCCTGTTACCTTCTGATCAAGATGTAGCCAGCACCACATCTGCCTGCTTGCTGCCATGCTCCCGCCATGATGATAATGGGCTGAACTTTTGAATTGCAAGCCACCAGCCCAATTAAATGTTTTCCTTTGTAAGAGTTGCTGTGGTCATAGTGCCTCCTCAAAGCAATAGAAACCCTAACTAATACAATGTCCTCTGGTTTCTTCTAGGTATTTGGTGACAGGTACTGGGTGATGGAAGTGGTTAAAAAAGGATCATGGTAAAACTTTACTTCTAGCTTTCTGTGTTTTCTGGGACTCCTGCTTACAAATACAAACTTGAATTATCAGAAAAGAAAATAACCGATAAAAAATTCATACACTCGCCTGTAAAGTGAAGGGAACAGACCCTCACTTAGCCCCCTGCTTTAGCAGCCATGACAGGCTACAGAAAAGACACTTAGGCCTCTGACACAAGGAAACTCCAGACCCCCTTCCCCCCAACCTCCTAGGTACTTAGTTCCTGGGAACTGTTTGGGCACAAAAGAAAGTCCAGGGGAGATCAAAACCTTCTCTGTAGTCTCCAGGATACAGTTTTGAAAACTATTGGTATCTGTGTACAACAGTTCACATGCAAGTAACAAGACAAAGTCATAGAAACCACAGAATGTTCCCTCTCAGCACTGACCAATGAAAATAATTGGTACACAGGTATTTCATGCCAAAATGACTTTGAGATATTCTCCTGATTGTTCCCAAATGTCAACCAATCAGAAACCAACCTGTATCTACCTACTGACGTAATCCTGTAACTTGTGTCATTAAAACCTAGCAGTAGACAGGGAACTTTACCTCCTCTGGAGGCTGCTGCATCAGCTTGCTAGATGGTGTCCCTCCTGAGGTAGTATAGAAAAATCAATAAACCTTTGTGTTGGTGATCTGTCTCCCTAGTCTCTTTGGAGATCCTAGTGACTCAGGCACAACAAAAACCTTGCTTTTACAGTTCAGTGGGTCTATCTCCCTGAGGTCTCTTTGGGGACCTTTTTGACTTGGGCACAACATGAAGACCTGCAGATTCAGAATTTAAAATGAAGGAGGAAGTGGGTTCTGTCGTGTTTTTAGAATAACTTCTAGATTCCTTTCAGTTCCTCTCCTTTTAGTCTGGAAGAGAAATCTCAATTGGAAGCTTAGAGGGAACAGGGAGATTTACATCAACAAACTTAGGGGACTATTTGAAACGGTACTGATGACAGATTTGAAAAGAATTGGCTCTGGATTTCATTAGTCACTGGGAAATGGAATCCACTACAATGCACAGTGGTGTCCACCCACAAAAGTAGCTCAGGGTTGGTGGGGCTCCCTATGAATCAGCAAGGCCATGAGACTCATACACTGCTGGTGTGAGTATGACTTGGCCAGAAGACTTGGTAGAAGATTGGCAGTGTCTGCTAAGGCTGAAGGATCAATAATCAATTACTGGGCAGTGTCCCAGTAATTCTATTCCCAGACACCTAGCAGAACAGCAAAGGTAAATTCAGCTGTCATTGTTATAGCACTAGACTAGAGACACTCAGATGTCCTCATATTTTCACACTGAATTGTGATTCAGAAAAACATATAATATGGATCTTATACTAATGTGAGCCAGCAAGGCAAGAGACATAAAGTGTACATATATCTCATGGTATTCCAACACAGACAGACAGACAGACAGACAGACACACACACACACACACACACACACACACACACACACACACACCCACACCCCCTCTTTTGGCTCAAAGGGAATATGAGGTTATTTATTCTAAAGGCAAAAAGAAGTGTCTATGGCCCAAGAACAGACTCAGGTTACCCACAAAATCCATGTCCCAGCATGGGTAACCATTTCATTTTGTTTTAATAGTAACAGAAAGAATTATAAGTCAAGACATCTCAATTCATTATTGGAAATGTCTGCTGGGAAATCTGTTGTAGGCCCCCATGCTGTCTGTATTAGAAGCTAGGAGCCTGCACATTCCAAGATTTTATCTGAAAGTCTCAAAGATGTTTGGTCACTCACAGAAGTGGGCAATACATAGCAATATAGAGGACTAAGTTAGCTCAAGAAAACTTGTCTCTGGATCAACATTACAGCTCTCAGAAATTCAGAGCAGTGCACAAGCCTTGTGGAAGGAATCTGTAATAAAGGTTGGCTCTTTTCTGGGAACATCATTTCATTTAAGAGCTTAAGATCAGGTGGGCATGCACACCTTTTAACTCCAAAACTTGGGAGGCAGAGGCAGAGGATCTCTACAAGTTTGAAGCCAGCATGGTCTACAGAGTGAGTTCCAGGACAGCCAGGGCTACACAGAGAAACCCTGTCTCAAAAACCCAAAAAAGAAAACTATGTAAACTGATCTAAGTTTTTTTGTTGTTTTGAGACATCTCACTGATAGCCTTGGCTATCCTGGATCTTGCTATGTAGACCAGGCTGGCCTTCAACTCAGAGATACCCCTGCCTCTAAAATGCTGGGATTAAAGGCATGTGCTACCACACCCTATTCCAAAAACATATTTTTAAAAAATGAGTGAGAACACCTAAAACTTCCTTTTTTAGCATTATTTTCTACTTCTGGTGAAAAAATAATGAGGGAAGATTAGCTATTAAATTTTATTATTAAATAATACATGGTACTTCAATAACTTACTTCATTTTTGTAGACAGATCTCACTCTGTACCCCTGGCTGCCCTGAAACTCTGTAGACCAGGCTGGCTTCAAACTCAAGAGATCCACTGCCTCTGCCTCGTGAGTGCTGGGACTAAAGGCGTGCGCCACCACTGGGCAGCCTAGCTCATACTGTTTCTATTAGTGTGTGACTTTAGCCCATAGCATTTCCTAGACATCTTCCTCATACAGGACAGGTGCTTAGCTGTGTTGGAAACTCTCCAGAACCAGCCTACTGTTTTAATGACACCTAGATGCATTTGATGGAGGTTTCTTACCAATCAGAAGGAAAAGAGGTGATGGTGAGCAGCACCGGGCTGGGGTGCCCTACTGCACCAGAGGGGGTGCTCAGGGCTGCCTCTGTTGCTCTGAGATGCACCCTCAACCTTATGCTTTTTTTTCCCCTGAGACAGGGTTTCTTTGTATTGCTTTGGAGGCTGTTCTGGAACTCTCTCTGTAGACCAGGCTGGCCTTGAACTCACAGAGATCCGCCTGCCTCTGCCTCCCAAGTGCTGGGATTAAAGGCGTGCATCACCAACGCCTGGCCCTCAACCTTATACTCCTAAGGCTACAGTTTAATGATCTTTTGATGTTAGGGACCCTTTGCTGTTGTTTTAAATTTAAAGTGTGGGTTGGAGAGATGGCTCAACAGTTAAGAGCATGGGCTTCTCTTCCAGAGGTTCTGAGTTCAATTCCCAGCAAGTACATGGTGGCTCACAACCATCTCAGAGGGATTTGATGTCCTCTTCTGGTGTAAAGGCATATATGAAGATAGAGCATTCATATACAAATCTTTTTTTAAAAAATGTAAAAATTGCCTTTGGGCTGGGTGTGACCGTTGCTTATTCAGGTAGCTAGCTGTAGGAGCAGAAAGAATGTGGTAGGCACTAAGCTTGGTGGTCTGTTGTCTGGGTTCATGTTTGTACCCAGTATGTTGGCCTAGATCCTCCCACTTCTGATGTCTTAACAAATGCTAAATAGAGCCGGGCTTGGTGGCGCACACCTTGAATCCCAGCACTCGGGAGGCACAGGCAGGAGGATCTCTGTGAGTTCGAGGCCAGCCTGGTCTACAGAGTAAGTCCAGGATAGCCTCCAAAACAATATAGAGAAACCCTGTCTCAAACAAACAAACAACCAAAAAAACCCAAAAGCTAAATAAATTTTGTTTTTAACGAATCTGTTTATTAAAAAATGGCAACGGGTAAGGGCTGAAGTCTTTTTGTTAAACCTATTTTAGTTTGGGACAAGACCATGGCGAAAAGACAAAAGGCACCCAGCAAACAGTCGTCCTTGCTGAGCCGGGAGCCTCACTGCTCTCTGGCCCAGTGGACCCTGCCGTCTTCTCCAAGCCGCACGGCCCCGCTGGCCACCAGCTGCAGGGCTGCAGGGAAGACTCTATGCTCTGCGGCTTTGACTCTTTCAGACAGAGTTGCAACACTGTCGTCCCTCTTCACAGGGACAGCTTCTTGCAGGATGATTTGTCCTGCATCTACGTCTTCCTGGAAAACAAAGCGGACATTTTCAAGCCTGGCTTTCTAGCCACTGTAGTCTGCATCCAGACACTAGAGGCAAAGTGTAGGAAAAGAGATACTCACAGCTACAAAGTGTACGGTACAGCCCGTAATCGTGACTCCAGCTTCCAGGACTTGCTCATGAGCATTTGATCCCTTAAAAGAAGGGAGCAAGGACGGGTGGATGTTGAGCATTTTCCCTAGAAAGCAAAAAGCAGTGGTCAGAAAATTTAGGTCTTGTTTATTCTGTTAAAGGAACCAGTGCTCAACTATATTGACCTTAGAGAGCAGACTGGGGGAAGATGCCCAAATACGTACTGAATAATGACAATAGGACGCAGACACAGCTTTTAAGGAAGAAGGGGGTAAAGGTGTCACCAAGCTTGATGACCTGAGCTTAATCCCCAAGACCTACCAAGTGAAAGGAGAACACCTAGTCCTACAAATTGTGCCTCAACTACCAAAGGCGAGCTGAGGCGACCCTACTAAGCCATGCACACAAAGAAAATAAAGAAAATAAAACAGACTGTAGACATCCATGCATTCAGCCACAATGCCTTCCTTGCTAGCTTCTGCCTGTGTGTTATATAGGAGAGCATGAATCTTTGCTTTTTCTGTGTTACAAGGTATCAAACCAGGGCCTTGTGCAAGCCAGGTAGGTAAGTGCTTTACCAGGGAACTAAACCCCCAGCTATTGGTTTGCCTTTTCTTTAACATTATTTTATGAGGGTTTTGCTTGCATGTATCTCTGTGTACCATGAATGTGCCTGGTGCCTGAAGAGGCCAGAAGAGGGTTTTGGGTCTCCTGGAAATGGAGTTACAGGTGGCTGTGAGCTGTCATGGTGCTGGGAATTGTACCTAGGTCCCTTGCAAGAGCAACAAGTGCTCTCAACCACTGAGAATTTCTCCAGACACTAACTCTTGGTTTTTCGGGACAGGGTCTCGTTATACATTTCAATATGGCCTTAATTAAACACACTACATCAAGGCTGGTCTCTGTGCAGCTCTCTCTCCATCTTGGGATACTCAGGCCCTTTATCTTACTTTCTCTCCTGTTCCTTCACTCTGCTTCTGAGGAAAGTGTCCTAGAGGACCAGGCTGGCCTTCAACTTGCAGTTCTCCCACCCCACCCTCAGGATGCCCGGGAAACAGGCATGGACTGAGCATCATGTTTTCTTGTTTCTAAACAAGGAAAGGGTCTTCCTGAGGCTTCTCTCACATGAGTGGTCTCTGCAGTAACAGGAGAGCGATTAGTGACCCCGATCAACAGCTGAGTGAGCTGGGCAGAAACTCAGCCTGGGCACTCTCTCACTCAAAGCAGAGGGAACTAATACAGTCCCCATTAAAATCTCCCGGGAGTCCCTTTTCAGCTGACCTCCCAATGTAATGTCAAATGACTTTTACTTACCGTCCCATTTTCTGACAAAAGGGCCAGAGAGAATTCTCATGAATCCTGCAAGACAGACTATGTCTACAGAGAACTCTTCCAGGACCTGGTCAACAGCATTGTCAAATTCAACACGACTTTTATATAATTTATGATTAATTACCTGTAACAAGAAAAGAGAAATACATGAGTGGTGAAGATGTACCCACTGGAGGGTTGGTTGAGGAATGGGCAGGATGGAGAAAAGCAAACCCAGCACCCACCCCAAACGGGAAGTTCCACGATTACATAACCACATGCCTGGCCTTGTGAAAGCAGAGTTTGCATTTAAGTGCAATCTGCAGGGCTGGCTGTGTGGCTCAGTGTACACCCTAGGCTCCAGGTGGAACAGCCAGCACTGAACAAGCAAATCTCCCAACAGCCAGGCACAGCCTGCAGTAACTCACTCTGGTGGGAATGCCAGCTTTTTCTGCTTTGTCTAGGCCAGCGACCCCAGCTTTGTTGGAGATGACAACCACGATGTGTGTGGAGCTCTTTGCATCTTTAGTGCTGTCTATGAGAGCTTGGAGGTTCGATCCTGAAAAGACAGGAAAAAGAGGAGAGAGTTCACAGGTCTGAAGCTCAGTCACCCTCACAGTGTCCTTGCTTCTCAGAATAGCCTCTCTGCTTTATCATAAAGTTGGATCTAAAATACACTCAAACTGAGAGACAACCATGGCACTGGGCCGTCAACAACACACTGTTCATTCACATTGTTCACAGCAGTGCTTCCTGTGCGGAAAACAGTCAGTGCTGGGCAGAGGGTCACTCCTCAGTACCTGCACTAGGATGGCTGAGGCCAGGTCAGCCCAGGCTTCAAGGTGAGTTTCAAAGGTGATCAAGAGTTATGCTACAGTCACCTGATAGAGTACAATGCTCTTCTACCCAAGGCTTTTTACTTTTGATAAACACAACTTTAGAATGCTACATTTTATTCTGAAAGACATATAGGAACTAAAATACCAGTTAATAACATTTACCTACCATTTCTGACTTTTAAGAACACATGCAAGGTGAACATACAGAATTACTATTTCAACTTTTAAGCTTTTCACCCATCAAGGTATGATATAAAAGAGGTGAACTCTTCCTTCTTTACAGTCTGTCGTCCTCACCGCTGTGTGTCGTGTGTGTGTGTGTGTGTCCCCGGCTGTTCTCAGTGTAACAGCCCTGGCCATCCTGGAACTAGCTCTGTAGACTACCAGACTGGCTTTGAACGCGCGCGCGCGTGTGTGTGTGTGGGGGGGTGGGGGGTGTGGGTGTGGGTGTGTGGGTGTGGGTGTGTGGGTGTGTGGGTGTGTGTGCACGCGTGCTAGGAATAGATCCAGGTCCTCTCCAAAAGCAAGTGTCCTCAACTGTTGAACCACCTTTCCAGCATGGTGGGTTTTGGTTTGTTTTTGTTTTTTGAGGCAGGATCTCACTGTTAGCCCTGGCTGGCCTGGAACTCACTATTTGCGAGGCTGGCATTAAACTCAGGAATCTGCCTCCACTGCCTCCCACGTGCTAGGAGGCCACACTAGCCACCAGTTTGTCCTTCCTGTCTTCAGTTTCTCTTTAACCATTTTTTTCACATCCTCTATTTTGATCTTGTCCCAGACTCTGGTGAGAGCACTCTGACTCCCTGAGGCCCTCCTCACCTGTCTGTGTGAATGGTGGCAGTAGGGAGAGCTCTGTAGTCCTATGGTAAGGAGAAGCCTTGCCTTACCTGTCCCGGATATTAAGACAGCCACTCTCGACTTCTTTTGCTGGGCAGGGAAATGACTTCTCAGGAAGCCATTTGACACCACCGCCCCATTCATTTGCATGGCCTCCATCAGATTCTTGACTCTGACACGAGGGGAATCTTCATTCCAATTATATGCATAAAAAAGTAAGAACAACTACGGATTAATAGGAACAACAAAAATATTATAAAACAACTTTATTGTATTTTATGCTGAGAGTAGGACAAAGAGGAACAAAAACACCAGGTTAGTAGCATTTACCATCTCTCACCTTTCTGAACACTCTGAAGGTGAATAAACAGAATTGCTACAGCCGAGACCCACCGTGCACTCAAGACAGCACTCCAAACGCTGTCTGCCCATGCCCTCTCAACCCCTCAAGCCACCAGTGGGCCCAGGCACACGGTGCATCCCCGCCCCTTCAGAAGGCCACTCAAGACTGAAATAAAGTCTTATTTATTCAGCTTACTGCCGTGTAAGCTGAAGGACATTACTGTCCAGCACGGGGAAGACCCCCCTGAACATGAAACCTATGCCTCAGAGAGCAGAAAGGCAGAAGCAAGGTCAACCAGCACTGACCAGCACTGGCAGCTCTCTGAATGGATCCACCTGCCACCCTGTCAACACACAGAACCACTCGGTGTGTTCAAGCTAAACCTCCAGGCAGAACCTCGAGGTGTCTGTCAGGGACATTATCCTGGGAAAGAGTCCTGTGCAGTGTAGCTGTGTATCAGTGAAAATGACCAGAGATGTCAAAGTTCCAAAGAAAAGCAGACGTGTCCCCGCCCTGGGATTGACGAATCATGATACATCTGGGCAAAGACAGACGCCTTGGCAATGGCTAAACCTAAAAGCCAACAAGGAGCTATTACCTTCAGGACAGGCCACGACACTGCCTATCACCCAGGCTTCCTCCTGGCGCTGCCGAATGTCATGCAGGATTTGGTCTGTCTGGTCCTTAGACACCACCAGGGCAGCTCCAACCCCACAGTTGAAGGTTCTGGCCATTTCTTCTTCAGAGAGCTGTCCTTCCTGCTGTAACCATGAGAAGACCTTGGGGATCCTCCAGGTGCAGGCATCTCAAAATAAGCAAGAGTTGCCTGATTATTCTATTGTCCCATACAAAGAATCTAAAAAAGAGTCATAGGCAGACTCTGCTATTTTGTGTAGAGTAAAACTATCAATGGTCCTTCAGATTATTTCTTTGTCAGCATGGACACCAGAGACTGGCACGCCACCTTTTGTAAACGTCTAGCTGGGTCTTAGTGATGACAAGCTGTATCCTAAACACCATGCAGACCAACTTAGAGGGCGGCTCTGCTGGAGAGCTCTCTGACCAATACCCGCTTCCTTTCATTTCTTCTAAAACTTAGGCTGAGCTGACTTTGACCCAAGCAACACATCACCACTCTTATCCCCAGCACCAGGTAAAGTCTTATTTACATACACTGGCACAGAATTCCTCAATAACAAAGTAACATGGATGAGATACTTGAACGTACGGGTTATAAGATTTGGGTTTACAAAAACTATACTGAATGAATGTCTCTAAAGAATGTTTGATTATTTTTGTCAATCTGACACACGCTTAGATTGATGCGCGAAGAGAGAATTACAAGGGAGAAAATGGGTCTATAAGAGCCGCTTAGAGCCAGGTGGCGGTGGGTGCACTTAGGAGGTCTAGCACTTAGGAGGCAGAGGCAGGCAGATCTCTGTGAGTTACAGGACAGCCTGGGCTATACAGAGAAATCTTGTCCTAAAAAATAAACAATCAACCAACAAACAAAAACCAGGTGCTGAGAAAGCTAAGGGGAACAAGCCAGTAGGCAGCACTCTTTCCCCAAGTTGTTTTTGTTTTTCTGAGACAGGGTTTCTCTGTGTAACAGCCCTGGTTGTCCTGGAATTTGCTCTGTAGACCAGACTGGCCTCAAATTCATAGAGATCTACCTATCTCTGCTTCCCAAGTGCTGGGATTAAAGGTGTGTGCCACTACTGCCTGGCTTGGTTTTTGTGTGTTGGAAACAGGGTCTCATTCTATAGTCCTAGCTGACCTGAAACTAACTATGTAGGTAAGGCTGGTCTTGAACTGCTGGAGCCCCATCTGCCTCTGCCTCCAGAGTGCCAGGGTTAAAAGTGTGTGCTACTATATCTGATTTGATAATTTTTTTTTTAAATACAATTTAAAAACTGCATCCTGTCTACAGATCTTGTCCCCAATTGGGGTGATGGGCATCTGCTTGCATGCATGTGTGCCTTATGCCTTGGTGTTCAGAAGACAGGAGCAGACCCCTGGAACTGGAGTGAGGAATGGTGTGGGTAGCCATGTGGGTGCTGGGAAATAAATCTGGGTCATCTGCAAGAACAGAAAATGCTCCTTTTTTGTTGTTTCGGTTTTTTTTTTTTATTTTTTATTTTTTTATTTTGAGACAGGGTTTCTGTGTAACAGCTCTGGCTGCCCTGGAACCTGGAACTCTGTAGACCAGGCTGGCCTTGAACTCAGAGGTCCCCCTGCCCTGCCTGCCTCTACCTTTTTTTTTTTCTTTTGAGACATTTCTCTGTGGCTTTTTTTTCGGCTGTCCTGAAACTAGCTCTTGTAGACCAAGCTGGTCTCGAACTCACAAAGATCCGCCTGCCTCTGCCTTTTAAGTACTGGGATTAAGGGTGTGCACCACCACTCACTGGCTTAGCAAAGAAGCTTTATAAAGAGAAAAAAAAGATGTAAGCTGGGCACAGTAGGGCATACCCCAGGGAAGCTGAGACAGAACGCTCAAAGCTGGTCTGAACTACACAAGTGAGATTGTCCTTAACTAAAAAGATGAAAAAGGCGCTCAGGAATGTGGTTATATGGGCTGGACATCCATAATTCAGAAATATGAAACTGATGCCACAGTGAAAAATGCCACACTTGGCCTCATGTGATAGATCACAGTCAAAATACAGGAGAATGCATTAAAGCCACTGCAGGAGGCCATGCATGGTGACCTTTAATCCAAGCATTCCAGAAGCAGAGGGCAGATCTCCATGAGGTCAACCAGTGAAGCCATGTCTCAAAACAAAATAACAGAAAGGATCTTTTACATATGATCGTGTGTGCACTCATAACCCACAGTACATGCTTTTCCCCCTTCATCATTTTTTTCTTTTTTAAATCAGAAATTTCCTTTGGCAAGCTTACCTAAATCTACCCCAAGCTTCTTGGGGAGGACTCTGGGGATGTTCTCCAGCAGTCCACCTCCAGTAATGTGAGCCAAGGCTTTGACACGTCCTGAACGTATGATAGGCAACAGTGAATGGCTGTAGATCCTGGTTGGAGTTAGAAGTAAGTCCCCTGGGGAATGGAGAGATAAGACATAAACTTAGCCCAAACCTCCGAAACCCAAACATAAATGGACGATGACTGTGACCTTGCACAGATATATTAGTCTAAATGTCACCCAGGCAGGAAAACCATACATCGATGCAATTCCTTCCATTTCAGGTAACCAAGCAGGACAGCAAGAGTAAGTTACCAAGGCCGGGTGTTGGCAGCTTATGCCTTTAATCCCAGCACTCAGGAGGCAGAGGCAGGCGGATCTCTGTGAGTTCGAGGCTAGCCTGGTCTGCAGAGCGAGTGCCAGGATAGGCTCCAAAGCTACACTGAGAAACCCCGTCTTGAAAAACAAAACAAAAAAAACCAACAACAACAAAAAAACAAAGAGTAAGTTACCTAACGTCTGGTCACCATGTCCACCAGGCGCTGGAGAAGAATATTGGAGGGAAGACCTCGCTACGATCTTCCTCACAAGGCTAAACCCATTGCTGTGAAGACCAGATGAAGCTACTCCAACGACAACATCCCCTTCGGTGATCCTTTCGAGCCGAGGGAGTTTCTGATCCCTTTCCATAGCACCCACAGCAAACCCAGCCAGGTCATACTCGCCAGGAGGGTACATGTCGGGCATCTCTGCGGTCTCCCCACCTGGAGAGACAAGGACGAAGACATCCTGTGTGCGATCCTTGCAAATCTGGATCAGAAGCTGCATTTAACACCAACAACCCGTGTGTAGCTCTACCCCATACGCTATATGCTAACCAACATCTAGGACAGTACACATGGCCTTCAAACACTGACTCTGACATGCCAATCAATGCTCAGCTGGATTTAACAACACATCTACAATAGTGACATTTCAGAAGAGCTTTTAAACGCTACCACCATCCAGTCAGGTTTGATTTGTTTTTCTTTTAAATATTGTTATGTTATGTGTATGAGTGTTTTGCCTGCATGTATCATGTATGTGCCTGGAACCCAGAGAGTACAGAAGAGAACACTGGATCCCCTGGAACTGTAGTTACAGTGAGCTGCCATGTGGGGCTCTGGGAACCAAACCCAGGTTCTCTGGAAGACCAATAAGTGCTGAGTCATGTCTCCAGCCCCTTAGTTTTACAGTCACTTCATCTTCCAGATAATAGCACAGAACTGCCCCACTCCATACAAATGTTTGAAAGTAGCCAGGCTGAGTGGTGCACGCCTTTAATCCCAGCACTTGGGAGGCAGAGGCAGGCGGATCTCTGTGAGTTGGAGACCAGCCTGGTTTACAAGAGCGAGTTCCAGGACAGCCTCCAAAGCCACAGGAAAACCCTGTGTCGAACCCCCCCCCCAAAAAAGGAGGAAGAAGCCCTAAGCCTGTCCAGTGAGGCTCTTGAGAAACATGGAGATGGACAGAGAAGAAAGAGAAGCCTGCCCGGCAGTTCAGGAATACAAGATGAGGACGGGGTCTAAGATTAACGAAGGTCGTTTTCTCTGCATTTTAATTTCCCATTTGGTGATGGAAAGTCACCTCCACTAGCCACCACAGCAATAAATAAGTTCTACATGACCCAGCAGGCAGGAGAGGACCTGAGAGTCAATGGATCATACCCAGGAGAGCACAGTCAGCTTGTCTACAAGCTCCAGCAATTCCAGCAACAACAGCTTCAGTTGTACTGAGGTCAAGTTTCCCACAGGAAAAGTAATCAAGGAAGAAGAGGGGCTCTGCTCCTTGTGCTAGGATGTCATTCACACACATGGCGACCAAATCCTGACCAATGGTGTCATGCTTGTTGCACAGCTGGGCAATCTGTAATATAAACAACCACACAGAGAGTAAGCGTTGCCTTTATCATCACAGCTCAGCCAGGGAGCAGTAAACACAGCTGTGGTGATCTGCTCAGAACACCCAGGACAAAGACAAGTTCTGCAGGGTCTTTTCTACTCCTTCCAACCGATAGAACTCGAACTCACTGTTCAAAGTGTGCACCTGAGCTACATGGTTAAAATAAATGGTTAGGTGCTGGGGCTCTTTTTAGTGGATGTATGTTGTTAAGAAGAAACGGTTATTGGATAAGCATAAAAGTCATTTGAAAGACAAATTCCCTTCTCTCTTTCACGAAGCCTTTAATCAAAGGTATCCAATTACCTTCAGTTTAGTCCCAACACCATCTGTTCCAGAGGCCAGAAGAGGATCTTTGAAACCAGCTGCTTTCAAATCAAAAAGACCAGCAAAGCCTCCAAGGTCAACATTGCAACCTGTTGGACAGAAAACGAGTTACTTGTTGCATTTTAATTGATGAGTCCAACATGAATATTTGAACTTTCTTCCTGACAATGGCTAATATATGAGCTACATTTCTGAGAGTAGGAAAAGAGCCCCATGTGCATGGCGAACTGATCAAGGCAGGAGACTGTATCAGGCTTAAGAATGACTTAAGAAGACACTCAGCAGTGATTTGAAAAATTCCCCTCAACTAAAGGCAAGGCCCAAATCAATTCACAATAGGGTCTAATTTACCTGGTCTGGAGGTGGCTTTTGCCAAAGGTTGAATTTTCTTAACCAGCATATTTCCAGCTGCAATGTCTACCCCAGATTCCTTGTAAGTCAGGCCCCTAAGGAAATGAAAATAAAAAGTAAGACATCACCTTAATTCCAGGGAAAGTTATTACTATTTGAGATGGTCTCTCTCCGTAGTTCAGGCTGTCCTGGAACTCACAGAGATCTGCTTGCCCCGCCTCTGCTGGGATTCAAGGTGCGCAACACCACACCCAGCAGGGAAAAATATTTTTATCACAAATAAAATGAAACAGACAAAAAAACAAAACAAAACAAAACAAAAAAAAAAACACACACATGTGAGGGCTAGGGAAATGGCTCAGTGGTTAAAGCACTTGCCACAGAAATGCTAGATGGATATGGCTGCCTGCCTGTGACTGGGTAGGGGATCCCCTGATGAGCTGGTCAAGTCTGACTGACAGACCCTCTCTGAGTTTAAGGTGGAAGAATAGGGATGATTCTTAATAACGTCAGGCCTCCAATTAGGCACACAGCCATGTATGGGCACACATGGGCACCCCCCCCCCAGACTCGGATGTAAATATTGTAGAGCAGGCAGTTATGAAGTATGCATATTTATCACCTTTCTCAGGGATGTGGAGTTAACAGACGTGTACCGCCACACTTGGTTTGAATTTCTTTCTAAATTGTAGTAATACATGCACACAATTTACCATCTCAGCCTTTTTTTTGTTTGTTTTTTTGAGACAACGTGTCTCTAACTTTGGAGCCTATCCTGGATCTTGCTCTGTAGACCTTGCATTCTGCCTCCTGAGTGCTGGGATGAAAGGCATGAGGCACTACTGCTCCACTATTTTAGCCATTTTTAAGTGTATTTTTTGACTGAGTGGCACAATTTGGTGTAGCCATCCATCACCACCCATTTTTTCTCACCTAGTAAAATGGAAACTTTGTGTCCACCACACAGGAACTCTCCACTCCTGACTCTCACTTGCAAACCACCATCTTGTTCCTATGTAGCTTAAACTAGCCTCTAACTCCCAATACTCAGCCTTAGCCTCCCCAGGAATGACATTACAGATGAGAACCTTGCCTGGCCCCTTCTACTTTTAAACTGTTTTTACCACATCGATTCTTAGGCCAACCTCAGTTTGAGTAGGAATGAAACGACAAACCAAAAAAAAAAAAGATTATGACTTGTGAAAATATCCCTAAAAACCAAAAGTTTTTATTGGCTATCAGTTTTCTCAGAGCTGAGGGCTATAGAAACATGACTGAATAGTGCTTTATAAAAGCACAAAACTATGTCATGTAGAAATCAAGTCTGTGAAATGCATTGTGAATTTATTAGTTTCGTCTTGAACAATGAGAATTTGGCTCATTGGGATGCAGTGACAGATGAAGAAATATTTTAAGCCAAGCTGCTAGGGTACTTGAGAGGACTGCTAACCAACTCAGCACCTGCAGTCCAGGGTCACTCTCACACAGGACACAAAACCCTGCAGGTAACAGTTGGCATTGTGACACCTCATTTTCTTTATCTTGAAGAACTCAGTCTACAATTCAGATTTAAGTGGGGATGGCACACATCCTCAATTCTAGCACTTGGGAGGCAGAGGCAGGTGGATCTCTGAATTGGAGGCCAGTCTGGTCTACAGAGCTAGTTCTAGGACAGCCAGGACCACACGGAGAAACCCTGTCTCAAAAACCCAATACCAATACCAATACCAAACCAAACCAAACCAAACCGACCGACCGACCAACCAACCAACCAACCAACCAACCAAGATATAAGTTCCTTGTTGGGCACAGTGGTATAGGCCATCAGATCTCTGAGTTCCAGGCCAGCCAGGGTGCCATAGTGAGATTTCCAAACCAAACCAAACTTCCATCTCTTAAGGTAGGTAATTTCCATGTGCTGGCACAGTATTTTAGTGTAACATATTTACAGAAGGGCTTAGAAACCTGTGTTTCACTCATGGTATAGCTTAATCTACTAAAAATTATTTTTTTGAGATGTCTCAATAATGGTTAGGAGAATTTGCTGCTCTTGCAGATGATTTGGGTTTGGTTCCCAGCACCCACATAGTGGCTTACAACATTACTAAGCCCAGTTCCAGGGGACCCAATGCCCTCCTCTTCTGATCTCTGAGGGAACCAGACATATGTGGTATACATACATACACACAGGCAAAATACTCACATCATACACATACATAAACACACCTATGTGATATTATGTGATACTTTAAAAAAAAATCAAAACACTCGTGGCAACCAAGTTTATTTATTTCATAAGGAAATATTTGTCAATAAATGACTCAGTATTTAAAAATACATTCAAGTAATAAATACAGGGACAAAGCAGGAACCGTGATTTAAACTCAAGAATGTTTACCTACATAATGACTCAAGAATTAACAGTCTTTGTCACCATAACCTTGACGAACTTTCAAAGATAAGGAATTGCCAAGAAGCATTTCCCATTTATTCATAAATTGCTTTGATCAGTTTTTTTTTTTTGTGTGTGTGTGTGGGGGGGAGGAGTAGGGGCAGATATGTAAAGTCTGTCTACAGACTGGCCTCAAATTTAAGATGCCCTTCCTGTCTCAGTCTATAAATCATTAAGACTCAAACAAAATACAAGCCAAGACCCAGTCAGCTCCACAGACAGAATACAGACTGACAGCATAGGGCCAGGAGAGTTTCCTCCAAGCCACAGAGGCCTGTTCTGAGTGGAGGGAACCTTTACCTTGGCTGCTGGAGGAAGGCCACAGCACGGAAGCCAATATCCTTCCTATACACTGCTCCCTCAAACTTTATAGCAGCGAGTCCTTTCTTGGCTTCTTCAAGGGCTGACACAAGATTTTCCCCGACGGCTGTTACTGTGAGGACTCTGCCCCCACTGGTCACCACTTTGCCATCTTTAAGAGCAGTGCCTGCATGAAATACCTGCAGCCCTAAAGCCTGGGCCTCAGGAAACCCTGTAAATAAGCACAGTTAACAAAGTGGGTGTTTTTTGTTGAGGTGGGGTCAGTCTTCACTATGTAGACCAGGCTAGCCTCAAACTCTGTGATCCAACTGCCTGTGGCTTCCAAGGCCCAGGATTAAAGGTGTGTGCCATCATGCCCTGCAGCAAAGACTTTGAAACAACATTTCATCCTGTGCTGTGGTTCTATTAAAAAAAAATCCCAGTTTCTGGGGCGTGAGAAAAACTAACAAACAAAACAACACAGCCATAATTTCAATGAGGGAGGGAAGTATGGTATAGTTAATTTTTCTTCAGAGGAGGTTTAAAAAGATAACTAGATGGTTTCTTTAACATGTGAGACAGCTAGTTATAAAGACAACTCTATCTCACCTCCATTCCTATGCCCACTTCTCTTCCCAGCACCTGGTGTGCTAATGTGTTAGCCACGGCTTCTGAGTGTTCTGACCACACAGTGCCACCCGGCATAGTTACCTATGCCTGCCGGGACTGTCCAATCCCGCTGTCCTGGAGTCTTAGGGGAAATCTCATCAGACAAACGCTCCTGGTTCAATCTTATTTCTCTGTTCCTTTCCAGAAGCAAACATTCCTGTCTCTGAGATTACAAGCTGATAGATTTTTGCTCTTTTTTTTTTTTAGGCAAGGGAATAAATAAAGTTCTTGAACCAAACACACTAATACTGCTACGCTACAGCATGCTAGGGGCCATAGAAGTTTTTGGTCATGAATCACAACTTATCTGGCATTTCATTTTCATTTGTAAACAGATTGGATGCCATTTAAGCATACACCTCATGGCTTGTTAAAAAAGGGGGTGGGGGAAACTGGACCTTTCAAACTTTGATTTCTGCCCCAGAAACCACGATCCGGGACACGATGTACTCTCTCTAATGGGCCAAACTGCATAGAGCAGAGCTTGTGTCTTAAAGCCTCACATGTGTTAACAATGCTGATTCTCACATTCTCACCCATGCCCACCTGGCTCTGGGGAGGTGGACATGCAGGGCTGCAATGGGATCACTCTGGAAACTTGATTGGCTCACTCGCTTCCTGGTGCAGGAAAGGACATGAATGGCATTTCTCTAAACACACTAAGCAACGGGCCAAGAATCCCTCAAGGGTCTGATGGCTTCAGACCCTTCATAGGAAAGGTGTTTGTACACAGGGGAGGAGCTTGTCATCACCCGTTTCATTGTAACCCAACCTCGTTCTTAAACACCCACTATTCACCTGTTATCTCTACACCCTTGGCGTAGGCTCCAGGGTACCCTTTACTTGCCATGACAACAGTTACGGCAGAGTGGTTTTCTAGCCAAACAGGCAGAGATGTACTCAGCAGGCCATCTAGGGTGGACTGAATCACTTCATAAAGGTCACTTTTAAGAAGTGGGAGGATTACCTGGAAGAACAGAGTCAATACGGTAGATGAGATGAACTGTAATAGTCTTCCTTTTACCCATTTCTTCCATTTTATTCATTGGGATGCCCACAGAAGTGTTTCTCAAAGGCAATGATTTCAAGACCGATAAACTGTGAGGACAAAACCAATGCTTTTCTTCTAAAAAGCAGTAGTTTGCATGCTGGTGGCTCACGCCTTTAATCCCAGCACTTGGGAGGCAGAAGCAGGCGGATCTCTGTGAGTTCAAGACCAGCCTAGTCTACTAGAGCTAGTTCCAGGACAGCCTCCAAAGCCACAGAGAAACCCTGTCTAGAAAAATAAAACAAAAAAGTAGTAGTTTGCTACTATTATTTTGAGACAGAGTCTCTCTCTGTAGCCGAGGCCATCCTTGAACTTTATCTGCCTCTGCCTCCTCAGTATTGGGATTAAAGGGACAGACACATCTTCATACCAGGTAGTATTTTATTTATTGTAACTCACTTGGCATTCTGGATCACCAAAACGGCAATTAAACTCCAAAACTTTTGGGCCATCTTTAGTCAGCATTATACCAGCGTAGAGAATTCCTTTATTGAGAGAGAGAGAGAGAGAGAGAGAGAGAGAGAGAGAGAGAGAGTCTGTAATGGTGTAATGACAACATTGTATTATAACTATAAAACCTAGACTGTAAACTTTTTTTTCAAAGTTTTGTAGACTTTCTTTTGTATACTGTTGCCTTTATGCCTGCAGGCCAGAAGAGGGTGCTAGATCTCATTATAGATGGTTCTGAGCCACCATATGATTGCTGGGAATTGAACACAGGACCTCTGGAAGAGCAGCCAGTGTTCTTAACCTCTGAGCCATCTCTCCAGCCCATAAATTGTTTTTTTTTTGAGACAAAGTCTCATGTATCTCAGCTTGAATTTGAACTCATTTTGTAGTTGAGGATAGCCTTGAACTTCTGATCCTCCTGCCTCCATACGCTAGGTGATGGGATTACAGGTGTGCCCCACCATGCCCAAGTGTATGGTCCTAGAGGTAGAACCCAGGGCTTCATGGATGCTAGGCAAGCATTCTACCAACCGAGCTATAAGTCCATCCAAGACTCTAAACTCCCAGTAGTACACATTTGGATACGACTGAAGTTGTAGAAAGAGAGACTAAGCTCCAGCCCAAGTAGAGGTCACTATACAATGACCCAGACATCCTCCTCACCTGTGTAAGGCGCACCCTCCTGCCGCATGCCATCTACTGTTCTCTGAAGAATAGTGTTCTTAATTTTTAGTAACAAATCTGTAGGAACCTGGGGAACACACAGAAACATTAAATGTAATTTTGTTGTTGTTTTTTGAGACAGGGTTTCTTTGTAGCTCTGGAGCTTATCCTGGAACTTGCTTTGTAGACCAGACTGTCCTTGAACTCACAGAGATCCTCCTGTCTCTGCCTCCCTGAAATCATATTAGGCTGGGTATAGAGGTGTATTCTTTTAATCCTAACACCTACAAGGCAAAGAGAGATAGACTGTGAGTTTGAGATCAACCTGGTCTACATAGAGTTCTGTGCCAGTCAGGGTCATAGAGAGACCCTATGTCAAAACAAAACAACCCTCACAACGCCCTTATCTTACAGAATTGGAAAGAACTCCAAGAGATCAAATGTTTCGTATTCAAGAATACATTTGTGGCAAATGTTAGTGTCTATCTACTTTCAGCTCTCTTACTACTTCGCCAAACATCAAAATAATGCTCTGAGCCTGGCAAATGGTGTCAAGGGCAGGCCTGCTCATTTCCTGTTAGCAGAGGAGTAGCAATCACCATTTCATCTCAACAGTGCTTAAAAGTATGCACATTCAAAGTACCTCACTTAAAGCTTCCTCGGACATAAAACTAAAATTAATAGTTTTCTCCGCCTCACCCTCTGAGGTGAATCCTTCTAGTATTGTATGCAAATTTTTAAGCCTACATATTTATGCATAAGAGTTTCATTGTGGAAATTAGGCTTATAGACAGTTATCTCAAAAATCACTGTTATCAAAACCTATAAAAAGATGCTTTGCTTTTCTTTGAGACAGGGTCTCACTATGTAGCCCAGGCTGTCCTAGAAGACATAAAAATGATTTCTAGAGAGCTAAACCATTCTATTTCAATAATGGAGATTTCTTTTCTTTTCTTGGTTGTCTTTTGAGATAGGGATTTTGTGTAGCCTTGGCTGTCCTTGAACTCAAGAGATCCTCCTGCCTCTGCCTCAATGCAGTGCAGCACTGTATCTGGCTAATGCAGACTTTGTTACACAAAACTACCCAGAAATTGGGAGTATCACCTGTCTGTCTGAAGTAGAGAGAGTGCAATTACGGCCTGTCCTGGTTCTAAGTTTGTTATATATACATTTCTGTTTTACGTGCTGGGCCACGGATCCAGAGAGGAAGAGAACAAAGCTCTCACAAAATCAAAATATGGGTGTACACAGTTGGGACAGGATATGTCAAACCTGATTGTATTTCCTATTCCTTAGATTGGTTCTTAATCCCTTAAAGGCTATCAGAAGTTGTTGTTAGAGACCCAAAGAGGTAACTTCTCATTTGGAAGACAGCTGGCCTGCTGACTAGTGACAGCTTACAGTACCTGGGGTGTTGGGCAATAGGCTCCCATTCCCCCTGTGTTGGGGCCCTGGTCTCCATCCAGCAATCGCTTATGGTCCTGTGCTGGGGGCATTGGGGCCACTGTCTTCCCATCAGTGAAACATAGACACTGCGGAAAAAACAGATTAGTCCACTTAGGTTAAATGTCAAAAAGTCAAATGTGACTCTTCTTAGAGGCAAAGTTTTCATTTCTGAAGAAAACTGGGATGATAATTTTAAGTCCAGGCACTCACACTGCATGTAAGGCACCACTACCTCAGCACTTAGTGTGCAGGCAGCTGTATGTGACATTGTACAGAACCCCACAGTGTGACTTAAGTCCAAGTGTCCCCCTCACCAAGCAACCCAGTGGTGGTGGGGGGACACAAACAACTCTTTCATAGGGGTCTCCCCTAAGACCATCAGAGAACACAGATATTTACACTATGACTCATAACAGTAGCAAAATTACACTTAAGACATAGCAATGAAAATGATGTTATGGTTGGGGTCACCACGCCCTAAGCAACTGTGTTCAGTGGTCAGCACTAGGAAGGCTGAGAACCATTGGTCTAGGGGTGAGAACTGTGCAAATCCTTTTTTTAAACTGCTGGGCTCCTGTGTTTCTGGGCATGATAAAAGCAAAGAGATGGCTGTACTTACAGACACTTCTTCCCCGTCCAGAAACTCTTCCACAACCACTGTTTCTCCAGCCGCTCCAAAAGACTTTTCCTAATTGTAATTAAAAATAAAACACTCTGTAAATCTTAAAGCTTTTAACACTGAATTGTAGAACTGTCTCCCATCTGAGTTATGAAATACACGAGCATTTTAACTTCTTTCTGAAGACCTAACACATGAACTTTTCTGGTCTTTGATGTGGTAGCAGGTAGAGCTCACATTTCTGCCACTTTCCTGATCACCATTTAATCTTTATTCCTGGTTATGAACATGTAGGTTTTGTCTAGAAACATTGTACAAAACCACGTATGTGAAAAGAGATTTCTCTTAGAGGTTAAGACATAATCATTGATATAGATTACTAAAGAAACACTGTACCCATCCACTGCTGCTCTATTTCTGTTAAGACTCGGCTCACATGGGACAAATGCCTTTGTTGTCATGGATGTGTGGAGAGTTATCAAAGACTTTCTACCTTCCCATCACAGACACTAAGAATGTCAGAATTACATCAAAAGAAACGAGCCATGGTTTAGGGATTGGTGTAGCTCTGCGTCAGCCCTTTTCTGGAAATGGATGGCTTGCAGTACAATGGGAACCAGCTGTCCAGCATGTTTGGGACACTTGGAGGCCCACTCGGTAAACTTAGAATACTTATTCATACAGAGAATGAACCTTCCAGAAGCAGCCACCTACTTGCATGATCTCCTGTACAGCTTTGCAGGCCTCCTCTTTGTTCTTTGCAACAATCACGCCTTTCCCAGCTGCAAGGCCACTAGCCTTCACAACCAAAGCAGGGAAGTTTGCGCTGTGAAGACAGGAAGCTTTTATCATCCACTAAATTCTCAAAATGCAGACATTTAAATTGTCTTCTGATTTGTAATAGTATGCTTCAGCAGAAGTGAAAGGTACCCAGAAAAAAAATATTAGCCCAGGATCATTTCAGGTAATTCTTGCCAAGATTTTTTCTTGTGTATTTTATAATTTTGACCATATAGCAAATACAATTTTGCTTTTTTCACATAGAGTGAGGTCAAATGAGCAATAATCCTTAAAAAGTTAAGCAGATTTGTAGAGCAGATATAACATCATCTGTAAGATACACACCAAGGAATCTCAAAATAGCGCCTCACAAGACCAACACATTTCCAGAAACACACAAAGCAGTAGAGTGGGACTAGAGATCTGGAAGGTTTAACCAATGTAAGTAACAAAGCTGTTACTTACCTAAGGCACTGGCCTACTAGGATAATAATAATATTCAGTGTTTAAGAAACCCTGTGGGATGAAGAATGAGCAAAGAATGAACTTGGGCCAGCGAGGTGGCTGACCTGAGTTCAATCCCTGGTTTTCTGATTCCATGGATGTGTCAAGTTGGACACACACACACTAAAGTTTTCCACATGCAGGAGAGAAGGATACTTAACGGACCCAGGTTTGATTCCCAGCACCCACAAGGCTGCTCAGAATTGTTTGTTAACTCCAATCCCAGGGGATCGCAGTGGTCTTCTCACTTTTTGATTATCAGGCCATTCACACAGGCAAAACACCCATACACATAAGATAATAAATACATCTAAAAAACATTTAAAAAAATTCACTAACTCTGCAGGGTCTGGTGTCACACACCTAGTGGGATACCAGCACTTGGGAAGCTAAAGCAGGAGCACAGCCATTAGTTTAAGATCCTCCTGTTGTGCTGGGCGTTGGTGGTTCACGCCTTTAATCCCAGCACTCGGGAGGCAGAGGCAGGCGGATCTCTGTGAGTTTGAGACCAGCCTGGTCTACAGAGTGAGTTCCTGGACAGCCTCCAAAGCCACAGAGAAACCGTCTCAAAAAACCAAACAAACAAAAAACCAAACCAAAACAAAAATGATGCTGTTATTGTAATAATATACCACCGTGTTTGTCAGTTTCAGGACAATATGTATTTCCTCTTAGAGATCTCAGTAGTGAAAACAGTACATATAATCTACAAGAGTACTTAAGGAAAGTGTGTACAGAACTGGTTTTGTTTTTCCTTTTGGTTTGAGACTGGATCCACCAAGCCCAGGCTGGTTTTGAACTGGTTCTTCAGCTTCCACTTCCCAAGTGCTGGAGAATCCCATCTTATTATGGTGTCAAAAGGGAAACTAATTATTGTATTTCAAGTTATCTTTTCCATAACTAATTCAATATAAACCCACAAAAGCCTAAGAACTAAACTTTGTTTTTGGTTCTTCTTTAAACCCTGTGGCCCTGGCTGTCCTGGAGCTCACTCTGTAGATCAAGATGGCCTAAAACTCAGAGATCCGCCTGCCTCTACCTCTGCCTCCTGAGTCCTGGGACTAAAGGTGTGAGCCACCACTGCCAGCTTAAACAGTGTGTTTTCAAACAGAAAGTGACTTTCTATTTACACTGCATGAACACCTGTCCTTCACAGGCCCCCTTCCACCTACCTCATAATAAAGCTGCAGGCATCTTCAGGCTTGGTAAAGGCTTTCCACTGCGCAGTTGGGATTCCATGTCGGTCCATAAACTCTTTGGCAAACTTTTTACTGGACTCTAACTGGGCTGCTTGTGCAGTGGGGCCAAAGCATCGTACGCCTGCACAGGCCAGGTCCTCAACAACCCCTACAGAAAGAAGCAAACAGAAATCTAGGTAACCCACAGTCCATCTAGGGACTTACTCCGAATATGAATTATGATTAGAATAAGTCTAAACATTAGTCATTAGCAGGTTATTACTAAGAGGTGATTCTAGGCATATAAAGAGCTGTGCCAGGTGGTGTCTGAGCCCCCAGCTAATTGAGAGAATGAGGCAGGAGCCCACAAACTGTAGATGAGCTTGGGCACTTTAACTAAGCCTCATTTCAAAACAGAACACCCAGACAAACAGCTAGCAAAAGTGAATTGTTGGGTTTGCCCTAGTGACTATATGATTACTAAAGACACTACAATAGAGCAGAAGAAAGACACGTTTTGATCCCGATTTCATCTTATTTTTGAAGGCCTGAGGTAAAAACCAAAAACCTGGATCCCACCAACTTTAAGAAGCTGAAAGATCCTCTTCTAATGATTTATGAGGAATCCCCATTCACGGACTGGATTAAATCATCTCTGAACTTCTGCCGGCACTGATTGTGTGGCCACAATAAGGAATGAGTTTACCTGCAGCTAGAGGGGCCTCTGGTCCAACAACCACGAACTCAATCTTTTCATCTTTGCAGAACTGAGCCAGGACAGTGTGATCAGTGATGGAGACAGCTGTGAACGGAAGACATAAACCCACACACTTGCAAAAATGTCTTCAGCTAACCTAATAAGCTAATTACTATCCTTAGTAAGGTAATTAAAAACTAAGATAGTTGTTGGTTTTGCCTTTGTGGGTACAGTTAGTAATTTTCACCATGAGAAATTCCAAATAGTGCATTAGGTTAAACAAACCTCAGCAGCCCACTACTGTCACTGTACCCAGTCAGTGACTCGTCAACACCCCAATGTGGCTGTCCCTGTTTCCAGTGTTGGTTGGTTGCACAGAAAAAAGACAAACCCAGAGAATGCACTCAGAAACTTCTTCCATAAACAAGCAGAAGATGCCTTTAACCTACAATAGGCACCTGCTACCTTTCTAATCACAGTGGTTCAGAGGTTTAAGATACACTGCCTTATGTTTACCACACACAGAGAGAATTCACGGTACTGATTTGAATAGAAATCTACCCTACTAAAGAGTGTATGTGAGCTATCATTTATTATCAACAAATATTAACCACCCCGACCCCCATTTTGAAACATAATTACCAGCATTTGAGATCTTTCCGGAACTGGCAGTGCCTGCATTTCCTGGGGCAACCAACACTTGTTTGACATGATGAGACTGTGCAAGTTTCCAGGCCAGGGTATGTTCCCTCCCTCCACTGCCAATCACAAGAACTCGGGCTGCCATTGCTGTCTACAAGGCAGGAATTCAGAAGCAAAATGAAACCTGCAGAAAGAAAGCCACAGTTGATCTTAAAACACATGCATTCTAGGAGACACACTTCCTCATTTTTGGTAGTGTTTTATCTTGTTAACTTTTCCATATGCTGGTGTTTTGCCTGCACATATGTCTATGTACCGCAGGTTTGCCCAGTGTCCACAGAGCCAGAAGAGGTTCTTGGTTCCTCTGGTACTGATATTTTGTGGGTGTGAGACACTGTGGATGCTGGTGATTGAACCCCAGTCCCCTGGAAGATCTGCAAGTCTCGTAACTGCTGAGCCATCTCTTCAGTCATTCTTTTGGTGTTCTTGAGAAAGTCACACTATGCTGCACAGAGATGCCCCATGCTGCTCTTCCAGAGGACCTAGGTTCAATTTCTAGCATTTACACGGTGGCTACCAACTATCTAATTCCAGACCCAGAGGACCTGACCCCTTTCACTGGCCTATGACATAAGTCACACACAAGGCAGGCAGGCAGGCAAACATATGCACAAAACCCTCAAAACTTGGAAGGTTAGAATTGAAAAGAGATGACGGTAGTCACAGTACAAGAGGGCATGAGAAGATGAGGGAGACACGTTTATAGTTAGGCAAAGAAAGAACGGTGGTCAGCTTTTGCTAGGTAGGCTCTGGGTGTCCTCCATGCTCATGTGTTGTGTTCCATCCATATGGTGAGGTACTAGAGTAGAAACGATGTAAGTGTGGTATTTAGAGATGGAGCCTCTGGGGAATGACTAGGTTTAGATAAGGGCCCTAGGGTGGAGTACTCAAGATTAAATGTAAAGTTTTTTTCCCTTTTGTTTTTTGATACAGGGTTTCTTTGTGTAGCCCTGGCTGTCCTGGAACTTACTCTGTAGATCAGGCTGGCCTTGAACTCAGAGATCAACAATTTAAACCTTGGTGTTGCTGGGAGGTGGTGGCACACACCTTTAGTTCCAGCACTCGGGAGCAGAGGCTGGAGGATCTCCATGAGTTCGAGACCAGCCTGGTCTACAAGAGCTAGTTCCAGGACAGCCTCCAAAGCCACAGAGAAAGAACAACAAAAAAACCAAAAAACCAACCAACCAAAACCCAACAAAACACCTTGGTGTGGTATAGAGAACAGGTATTAACAGTACACATTTTCTCTGTCAAGGGTGAGGAAATATATTTGAGGGCTATTTGTGCGCTGTCCAAATTATGAAGTAGAACTCCATTAAAGCCTGAAAGGACAGTACATTAATGGGTGTGTACCATCCAGAAAAATGATTTATGTAAACAGCAGGTATAGGTTATTTGCCTAATCAGTGCTCTAAACAACAGAAAGCTGAAAAAGGTTCATAAGAAAACAAGCAGAACTGTGTTTCTACACGATTACATTATTATGGGCACTACCACTTCTGTTGCTTGGTAAACAAAAGATCCAGAGACTGATACTGAGGTACAAGCTTCAAGCTGAAGATCAGAAAAGCAAAGAAGCTGGGCACCAGCTCTCACTTGTCCTCAAAATGGGCCTAGCTTCACCAAAACCCCAACTGGAGAATCCTAAGACTCCAATGTCTTCCTATCCTCAATGTGGCTGGAGAATGAATCCCTGATAACTTAAGACCCTGCTCATCTCTCTTTTTTTGGGGGGGAGGGGTGAGACAGGGTTTCCTGTGGCTTTGGAGGCTGTCCTGGAACTAGCTCTTGTAGACCAGGCTGGTCTCCAACTCATGGAGATCCTCCAGCCTCTCTGCCTCCCGAGTGCTGGATTAAAGGCGTGTGTATCAAGCACTTCCTGACCTCTGTAGCTTGAGCTAAGTTTGTTCTCTGAATCCTCAGGCAAGCTTTAGTAAATCATAAATAATATATCACCACATCTGTCAAAAAAATTTTTTTTTGTAAGATGGGGTCTTTTCTGTGTTCCAGGTTAGTTTACAGCTTGCTATGCAGGTCCAACATTTCAGTGGTCCTCTGCCTCTCCAGTGCTAAGGTTACAAGTGTGGGTCACCATGCCTGGCTCCTCCCATTTTTGTTTGCTGGCTGTATAAAAACAAGTAATAAAGTCATTTGTATGTAATCCATAGCTTGCAGGCTTATGATTTAAGAGCTCATGGGATGCCCTGGATTGGAAATCTGTTAAGAGAAGCCAGAATCAAACCCTAATGCATCTCACGTGACTACTGGCATTATTACTGTTTAGCTGTTAAGTTAACATTAAAATAGTGTATACTGTGAGTTCAAGGCCAGCCTGGCCTACAGATTGAGTTCCAGGACAGGCTCCACTGTTACACAGAGAAACCCTGTCTTGAAACCAAACAAAAAAGCCCAAAATACCATATACTACAAAGTATGCAGAAGTCGGAATGGATAACTTGTTACATGACTTTGCTTAACCTAAACTGATACCTCAGGTATAGAAACAATCTGTCAAGTCATCCAACAGACAGGGGCAACAATAACAAAGGTGGGGACGGAGTTAAGTAACTAAGTTATTGCATAGAATAAAGCCTCTTGTTCAAATTCTAGCACCAAACTCCGGGAGGGGCGGTGCAAAGGGATTATGAAGGCATTTTACCTAAGCAGAAGATGGCTACAGGCAAAGTTAACTGTCATTTGTACCTTCTAGATTGATACGCTAGTTTAGGATTACATATTTAAAGAAAAATCAAAAAGGCTGGTGAGTGGCTCATTAGTTAAGAGCTTAGTGCTCTCCCTCCCTCTGTGGAACTAACTCTGTAGAACAGGCTGGCTTTGAACTCACACAGTTATGCCTGCTGGTGCCTCCAGGGGCTGGGATTAAAGGCCTGGGCCACCACTGCCAGGCTGAGCTTAGTGCTCTTACACAGAGGGCTGGGGTTTAATTTCCATCACCCACATGGGGGCTCACACACATCCTAACTTTGGTTCCACGCGTAGACCAGCCTCTTCCGGCTTCCTTGGGCACTGCAAGCGCGCGCGCGCGCGGCACACAGATGCACGCTAGAGAAGACTTCTAAGGAATAGCTGAAGCCAATACATCTTTGTGTCCACTTGGAGTATCAGGGCAACGGAGTCAGAGGGCCTTCCTTACTCCCTGGGCGGCCGGCCTGGGGAGACTTTCCCTTCTTGGGTGTCAGTTAATTAGTAGGAGTTTCAGTCAGGGAAGGAGAGGATACAAGAATCGGGCAAAAGCATTCCCAAACATTTGTTTACAAACTGGAGACCAGGCGGGGCGGCGGGGCGCACGCCTTTAATCCCAGCCCTCGGGAGGCGGGGGCTTGCGGGTGTCTGTGAGTTCGAGGTCAGCCTGGTGAGCCACGCAGGGAAACCCCGTCTCGGAAGGAAAAAGAAATGCAGAAAGCAAACACGAAAGCTGGTCCAGCTGAACCGTTAGTGACAAGGACAAACCCATCTGCTTTTGCTCCACTTTAGGGGCCCGTCTTCCGAAGGCACGGGGCTGGGAGGGGGTGCACACAGAAACCGAGAGCAGGGGAAGAGGGTCCTCGCTCGGGGCCGTGCACAGCAGCGCGAC